ATACAGATTGTCAACACAAATTATAGATTTATTTTTGATAATGTTTTAATGAGCTTTTTCTGGCGGTAAATATGAAGATTATTGCCCAGGCAGTTCATATCAAATTTAATTATTCCGAAAGTGTAATGCCAAATAAGTACAGAATAGTCAAATTCAACACTCAGATTTGAAAAACGCAGACTTTCTTTTTTCAGATAATTAATTTTTAAAAAATTTCTTCTAATTCCAATTCCCAAGGCTTGGTCTAATTTTAACACCCTGTATTATATTTACACCTATTTATGTTTAGTCAGACTAGCCTGGGAATCCAGCTTTACCTGGAATTTACTTAGGATACAGGGTTTCCCATTAATTATGACCTTCAACACAAACGTAAAGTTTCAGACAATTTTCGCTTGACAGTGATAAATAGTAAATAATTTGTGATAGAAGATGTCTGTCACTTTACCCCCTGGCCCCTATTAGAAAAAGAAGAGAATTTTCGCGTGACTGTGATAAATAGTAACTAATTTATGATAGAAGATGTCTGTCATTTTACCCCCTGGCCCCTTTTAGAAAAAGAAGAGAATCGATCCAGTTATATATCAAACGTTTTTATTACAGAATAAGAATTTTTAAAAAATGTAGCCATCATCATATTTCTCTTAAGAACTATTAATCAACTATGAAATATTCAGCATCAAAAGGACACCCTGTATATAGATGTAAAAAAACCGGGACAACCCATGTTAACCTATATAGCTGATTGTTCTCATTTTCAAGAAACTTAAATAAATAGTTCTTAACGAAACAAGGAAAATAAGGAAGAGAGGTTAACTTCAAATGATTTCAAAATGTATTTATTTTTTGTATAATATAAAAATATAAAAATATAAATTTGATAAACTAAAAAAAAGTTTTCCCAAGGGCTAAAAATTAATTTTAGAAATTGTATTTTCGTTAAATCCTCAAAAAAATTTATTTTTTATCTTTTAATCAAAGAGAATAGAATATATTAGAGTGGAATTTAAACAATCCCTCTTGATATGAATTTTGTCAGTCCCTTTCAGTCTGAAAGTGTACAATTCATTAAGTGTTCACAAATTATACGCAGTACATCACACTAATACAGTATGATCCCTGGACATATCCATTCCAATTTCTTTGTTTTATAAAGTTGTTAATTAACTTTTAACGTGTGTATTCGCTTTTAGGTCGCTTCGCGCCCATCTTCTATTTAAATTGTGAACATTTTCTCTTTGTATGTCATTGTAAAACAAAAACAAACAAAAGTAATAAGGGTTTGACAATAAATATTTTTCTAAAAATTTGGATGATTTTCGTAAGTCAATCCAGTCCCATGTCCCAAAAAGCAAAACAATTTTAAGACGACTCTAGCTAGGGGATTCTAGTGTTAAGCTAGAAGGGGGGGGAATAACATTTTTTTCACTCCTCCCAACCCACTCTTTGTCAGGTATTTAGAAAATGATGATATCTCCCTCATTGTTACTCAGATATCGAGCTAGGTTGATAAACCAGTAAAGAAAAAAATTTCAGAATTGAAAATATCAAAATATGATTTTTCAAATCCCATAACATAGCAAAAAATGCAAAACTTTCCAACTTCCCTGCAAGATTTATGCAATATGCTTCTTTTTGTCGAAGGCAATTTAGATAGATATTTTGTATACAGTTTTGCAATATTTTTTCTTTTCCTTTGAGCTCTTATAAATAGTCATAAATTATTTTTACTGCAAGAAAAATGGCATCAAAAAGAAAAATGCCCTTAAAAGCTCAAAAAAAAGCCATTTCAGGCTAAAAGCTTAATTCTCAAACTTAACCCTCAGCCATACTTTATTTTAATCGAGAAACTATAATGTGTAATGAGTTATTAATTTCGACCTTTTCTAAGGTTTTCTGGTCCTACAAAATGCCCCCATTAGCAGATTCCAAGCTACCAGTTTGCCAAAACAAAATTATTATCTTTATTTAACCAAAAAAATTTTCATTTATTAAGTGTTCCACAGGGAAAATGTTTTTGGTCCATTCTTAAAATATAATTTAAGTATCTATACATTTTACATATAGAAGAGTCCCACTGTATAAAAGTTATGAATTTGAAATTAAAGAGTTAATAACCAATTACCTTCCTCATTCTCAATTCTAATATTTTGGTATCTTGAGGATTTCAAAAATGTTGGTTTTACTGTTTGATTACCTCAAATTAAAAATTATGTTTTTTACTAAATAAAAACATCAAATTGATTTTTATCGAAGCTTATGCTGAAATGAGCTAGGGAATGCATGACAGGCTATCAGAGAAAGGATTTTGAGAAAATCAAATAATTTCAAAAAACTTTTCTATAAAAAAATGTTCCAGAGCCCAAAAGGTTATTTAGCACAAATGTGTGAAGTACACCTGCAGTATGGAAACAGTACAACAAAATGACCGTTTTACACTTTTTTCGAGAAAATTCCACTCTAATATATTCTATTCTCTTTGCTTTTAATATAAGTAATTCATAAGTTTTGCTCCAGGGGGATATTATAGCAGTGACGTATAAAATGAAAAACATCAGATAGTTACGAGGGTGGGGATCTATAGGCAGGGAAGTTTTGTTTATGTTTACAATTTTCTCTTTAAGGTTTACCGGGTGTGCTAATATACAAGGGAATTAATTGTAACAACTTTTATATCGTCTTCGATCCATGCGGCATTTTTTCATAAACACAATTATTGCAGTATTAAGCATCTAATATAAAAAACACCACGTGTCTTGAGATTTTCAAAATGTGGCTCACCATTAATGTATCTTTAAAATACTCTATAAATATTCTATAAAATTATCACATAAATCCTTCCCTTAGAGCTGCTATACAGCAAAAACCACTAAAATTCTGGAATGGTTAAATCATACAACGAGAACCAGAAAATTCTGGAGTGGTTTAATCATACAACGAGAACCAGAAAATTCTGGAGTGGTTTAATCATACAGCGAGAACCAGAAAATTCTGGAGTGGTTTAATCATACAGCGAGAACCAGAAAATTCTGGAATGGTTTAATCATACAACGAGAACCAGAAAATTCTGGAGCGGTTTAATCATACAGCGAGAACCAGAAAATTCTGGAATGGTTTGATCATACAGCGAGAACCAGAAAATTCTGGAATGGTTTAATGATACAGCGAGAACCAGAAAACTGTGGAAAAGGATTAAAATCCCCTGAGATATTCTAAATACACCTCATACATTGATCAGGACGTATATATTGCAGATCACACTTGTATGCCGAGTCCATTAGCGCCTGATTCAATCAGGGTTCAGTCATGTGTTTGTTGTCTATTCTGAACCAATAGCAATTGTATGGCGGTAACATCTATCTTTCTATCTATCTCATTATCCAATCAGAGATACGAATCCTGAAATATTTACTTCTATTGAAACTAAAGCTAAAAAGGACTTCAAGTGTGATTTTAAGATGGCAATGCTGATTCAATACAATCAATAGCTTTTTCTGATCAAGTTTGAATTAGATATCAACGTTTTATATTTTTAAAAATGATTAAAAAATTAATTAAGGTTTCTTTACTGTACACTAGAAGTAAATATTTCCTTTTACTGATAGCGCCGATTAAAGGATTCATAACTCTAATTGGATAATTAGATAGATAGAAAGATAGATGTTACCGCTATGAAATTTCTATTGATTCAGAATTGACACAAAACACATGACTGAACCATGATTGGATCAGACAAAAATGGAATCGGCATTCATATGTGTTTACGTTTACACAATCTTTAAACTTAAATTCTTCTCTATAATCGTAAAATTCGGCGTATAACTTTTAAATTAATTTTTTTTTTCAGGCTAATATTTTAAATCAGAAGTCAAGTCCCCATGTATTTAGTGTAATATCTATCTGAATTTAATATCTATTTATTTATTATATATATATTTACATATATATTTATATATATATATGCATATATATATATATATATATTTATATATACATCATTAATTCAGCTTCCATTATTTAGGTAATTTATAAATTAATTTATCTTCATGAACGCACGTGATATTAATCATGAGTAATGGCATTCAAGGTTTTCTACTTTTAAAGGAACCGTAGACGTAAATTTATGTGAATATATAAAGATTTAAATGAAACTATTTTGTGCATGAAAAATGGAGGATCATTTTAAAAAGTTATCAGTTTTAGACACTCCAAAAATCTTAAAAGTTTCCGGAACTTTAAAATGTAAAATCATAATAATCACGAAATTGAATTAAGTAAGATTGAAATCTTATACATTTCTGATCATAGCTTCTTTTATTCAAGGTTATAATGCAAGGAATGTTATTTCAGAGGTGTACGCATCTTTTGTACTGCAGTGTACTGTCACTGCGCGGTAATGTAAACACAAGACGGATGTCGAAGCCTGACGTATATAGGATTCATCTTTCACATAAAAAATCAATGAAATGGTCTGGTCATTGGAAACTATCATGTGAATTTTCAAAATGATCAAATTTTAATGCGTTTATCCACCTCGGACTCTAATGAACACTAATGCATCTATTCTTGTTTACAAATTCCGCCCAGAGAGAACAAGTTTCAATATGTACGCAGAGTCTCCGCAACTACAATTAACTTTTCTTGCATTATAACCTTGATTTTATTAAAGACCTATTACATTAAGAAGAATTTCTAAATTGACATTCTTGTGCGTCAAATCATAAATATATGAGCTACGAGCTCAGATGCAATTTCTATTGGTTCAGAATAGACAACAAACACATGACTGAACCCTGATTGGATCAGGCGCTAATGGGCTCGGCATAGGGTTCGTCAAAAAGACGAACCATAATGTTGCATAACTTTGACTTTGCCGTTAAACCTGTAATCATTTGAAAGATAAATCTAACAAACCGTTAAATCTTTAATCATGTCTAATCTAACCAATTTTTAACCCGATAATTAATTTATTAATAATTTTTTTTTCACATTTCAGAAGATAATATGTTTCTTCTGCTTTATCTTCTTCTTCTTCTTCAAAGTTCATCTTCCATTTCAGAACCACAGGTTGGATCTTTTTCATTCCTAACATTTTCTTTTCATTCATTCTAATGAATGATAATGAATAATAAATATACCTTCTTGATTAATTGACTATGGTATTGTTCAGATAAAATGATAGTATCCCTAAATTGATGTCAGAGTAAAAATTCTCGATTTTCGATTTCCAATGCATTGAATAGCCTTGTACAGTTGGACCCATAAAACTGTGGAATAGGAAGACGAAATTTAAGCAAGTGACCCTCAATTGAAAGATGGCATTATCCAATTAACAATTATACCCTTTAAACCTTTTATAATTAGTAATGTAGAAGATAATGTTGTTTTTCTATGTTATAACGGACATTTCCTAAAGTAGAAATGCGCAACTGAAAATAATCAGTTTTTAAAATGATAAACATTGATATCTAATTCATACTTGATCAGACAAAGCTATTAAGGGTACCGTTGTGTATTGGGTATTGCCATCTTTGCATGAAGGGTCACTGGAAATAACTCTAACACTCCCTTTAAGTAAAATGTTTTATCAACAGCTTTAAAGTTACTATTTTTCTTATTCATGAGACTATTTAGTATTATAATTTTAGTATAGTCGTCTTTACATTTTATAGTTTGATGGGTGTCTCTGTATGTTTTTTTTTAATTTTCAAGACAAGTTTTATCCACATAGTATCGTCGTCGCATATATCAATACAATGTAGACGACTTTCGATTTCAATTTTGATTTATATCAAGCTTTTAAACAGCGTGGATACACAGAAGCATGGAAACAAAGAGAAACTTTCAATTAAAAAAGTTTCTCTTTAATTACTTGTAAACTTCTAATTCGAAAAAAGCTTGTTAACAATCAATACGTAAATAAAAAGTCGTCTTCATTGTATTGATATAATCGCCGACCACTGTACAAAATTTTGGAAATCCTTTAATTCGTCATCTGTTTTGGTTTCCGTTTTATACTATATTAAAATTGTTGTTAAAAATTTGGTGCAAACAAAATATTATTTTATCAAATTTGTAGATGGCAAATTTTATTTGATTTTTGGAAATCCTTTTATGTTACTTCGGAACAATCTTTAAATGATATAAACATTTGAAAAAAAAGAGACATGTAAAAAACTTTGTCTTTTTTTTTCTGACACACCCTTTTTATATTATAGGATGTAAGTTCAGAGTTTTTGAATATATTTATATTATTAGATGGAGGTTTAGGGTTTTGGGATATCTTTATGTTTTAGGATGGAAGTTTAGGGTTTTGGGATATCTTTTTGTTTCATCTACCTGACTTAAGGAATACACACCATTAATAAATTAATCATAAATTTATAATAATCATGATCAAATTATAAATTAATAATTTTATTTATCAGTAAAATCACAACATCGAGTGGGGGGGGGCGGGATCAAGACCCCTCTTACCCTCAAGGTGAGATCAAATTTAAGATGAAATGGTATGAGGGCTTTGCCCTCTGTTAACTCTGTGTGCCCCCCCCCCCC